ATTTGCTGGTTGTTTTTCTTCCACTCTTCCTAATAAAATGAACTTGTACAGTTAAAACCAGAAGTTTACATACATCTAACCTCGTTCCCCTATTGTTTGAGGTTAAATGAGACCAAACTTCTCTTGTTTCCGAAGTCAAAAATGACAGAATCTGTCAGATTTATTGATAATGCCTCCGGCTGTGTGGTATTTCTGAGTTCCTGCAGACTCACGGTGCCGGCGCGGTTGTTTGGGCTGCCCCTGAAAAGGCCCGTCTCGACCTCGTCCGTCTGAGGGCCTCTTCCCGCCGCGGCCCCTGGGGGCCCCACCCTGCTTCCTGCTCAGGTCAAAGAAGAACTGTTGGACTGGCTCCTGGACACACCGCGGTTAAAAACAGACAAAAGGTGACGGATGTAGCTCAAAAATAATATATATAATAATACAAAACTAACAAGTAACTTATAGAAATACAGAGAAACTTGTTAAGTCAATAATTTCTTAATATTGGTGAAAAAGTGCAAGTTCCACTGAGAGATTATTTAGCTCATAATGTGGGAAAATGTCTTGCTTTATGTGAAATAATCTCAGTGGAGCCCCCAATATTAAGGAATTAGTGATTTAAAATAATCTTGTACAACTTGCTAACATTTGCCTTGCAAGTTAGTTTTGCATTATATGAAGTGTGATAAGATATTTGCACTAAAAACTACTTAAAAAATACTTGGTAAGATTTTGTTTTTGCAGTGCAGGTGTCAATTTGGGACAGGAGAGGGAAACAAAACCATAAAACGTCTCTTCGCTCCGTTAAAACAATGTCTCACATATTTTACCTCTTCTTCTGTGGTGCTGAATGGCGGTTTTTGCGTCTCCGTTTTGTCTTTAGCCGAGCGTCTGTAAGGACTTTCCGTGGCGTCCTGCGGCTGCTTCACCAGCTCTGTGGGATCCATGTTCTTCATGGGGACGATGTTAAAGGCGTAAAGATACTGCGAAGAGAACAAACGAGGAAAACCGACATTTCTTCTTGTCCAACGGCTGTGAAAGAGTAAAGCGGTGGTTGAACTGGTCAAGTTTACTGTGGAAATTGGCATTTTTAGCTAAACTCTGCTTATTTCGATCTCTGGAGCAGAGGGCTCAAAGTCATGCCAAAAATATAATGCAATAAGAGCCTTAAGATACTGTTACCTTAACAAAAGTGAATCTGTTAAAATTCAACACATAAGAGCAGATTTGAGGATTAAAATTACAGTAATTTGACTCTGAAAACATTTTTTTTTGAATGTTTTTGTTTTGGCATTCAGGAAATCTGAGCAGAAAGTAAACATGGTGATTTAGTTCAGTAAGAAAGTTATTAGAACTGAAAACTATTTGCACTGACAGACCAAAACTAAAATGTTTACTGATATTATGTTTTTATTTTTTTTATTATGTTTTGATAATTGTGACGTGAATAACAGAAGTGCTGCCATAGATCTGTTCAGAAAGAAACTCGCAGTTTGTCAGTTTAGTGACAGAATTTAAATATTTGAGAAAAAAAAGAGCTGTGCACACTTTGCAGTTCTGAAATTAAAATTGTATATTTTCATAAATATTTAAGGTGTATTGTGCTGTTTAAAAACTGAAATGGCCACCAAATCATTTTAGTTTGAGGCCTGTGCTCTCTGCTTGGAGCTGATGTAGAAAATGCTCGACTCCCCGTTCACCTTCTTCTTGGCGGGGTTGTTGACGGTTGCCAGGGCGATGAAGCGACTGACATGTTGAGCGTTTTCCTGGAGAACGACGTGATTCCTGAGGACAGCAGAACATCCCGTTACCTCAGTCAAACTGACTGCGGTAAGAAAACGACTCAAAACAGTTTTGCGACTTTGATGCATTTTAACACAAAACTGTAATTATTTTGTGATTTGTCAGCATATTTTTTGTTGACACAGACAATAAGCCAATAACAATATATGGCGATAGTGATCAATATTAATAGATAACACATCTGTCAGAATATTCACTGAACTTTGATTCAGAACTGCACAGCATCTTTGGTTGCCGAGCAACGACCTGCTGGTAACCGGCGCAGGAGCAGTTTCATGTTTAGCCACCGAACCTCAAAACTGCTTAAAGTGGAGTGAAAACTGGGTAAAACAGGAAAGGTCGCGCCTTTATAATTATTGATTATCAATAGTTATTGGTAATTATTGATGAACGCTTTAATTGTGAAATGTTTTTCTGCCATCCTAAAGCAGATCTCTGCTCTGATGCGTACCTGTATGGGAGCCTTTCATAGTGAACGCCCTCTAGTGCAGCGAAGTGGTAGCGCGGTTTCAGTTTGTCGGCGAGGCTGGCGATGGAGCTGCTTCCACATGACTTTGTGTTCACTTCCTGTGAGACAAAAACTTCCCTATTTATAGCGTTAAGTACTGTGAAGAGCGTCCATGTTGAGCAGGGTTCACGGAGAGGTGGGGCTACCGCGCTGTTCCCGTACTGCCACACGCCTCGGGGCCACTGCGACGTCAGCAGGATGTCGACGCCTCTGAACTTGGAGCTGCTGGTGAGCGAGGTGACGAGCGCCGACAGGTCTTTGGAGGTGAAGCAGTGAGCCGGGGCCGGTTCCTGCTGGGCCTCCTGGCCGCTGACGTAGGCCAGCTGCAGTCCTGACGCGCCCGAGAAAACGCCGCGCCGACCTGGAACGCAGCGCCAAACCCGGAAGATTTTATCAGAAAATCTCAGTCATTTTCATTCAGATCAAAGAGGAAAGCTGTTAGATTTAAACTTTTATTTGATACAGAATCAATATAGATTTTAATAATATATCCTGTTTAAAATGTAAAATATTTTAATTCAATTGTTATTTAATTTTAAAAATATGGATTTTTGTGCATTTTATCTAAATTAAATTTATATAAATTTCATTAAACATACACGAAATGTCAAATAAGTCTAGAAAACAGCACAAATTTCCCCTGCATTTAAAAAAATTAATTCAGCCTTAACATTTGTAAAATATTAATAACAAAAATTTAAAATAACATTTATTACATATATATTAATTATATTACATATATATTAATCTAGATACATACAAGGAGGAATCTAAATTGTTTTCATAGAGACAGTTTATTTTATTTATACATTTTTGCATCAATTTTTGAGTTTGGCAGTGTTAGTCCTCCATATTCCAGAGTTTTATCTTTTTATTTTGTGTAAATTTGCACATTTGATTTTTTTCAGTCTCAGCCCTTTTTTCAGTCTCAGTCTCACCTCCAGAGGGTAGTAGTATCTCTAAATGTCTAATATTAGTCATCATTGAGATAATTTTGGTTCCATTAACAATCTTGGCAGTCTCTGACCTCCATATAATCCTGTGATGGAAGTGCAGCTCTGATCTCTGCAGTCTTACCGAGGTATGTGATGTTTTCAGCCAGTTCAGAACCGTCAGAATTGGGGAAGTTCTTCACCGTTTCCTGGCTTGCTGCTCCCAGGATGTAAGTTTGGATCGGAGCTGGAAAACAGAAAAATGATTTGACTGAACCACATGAAGGGAACTGGACTTATAGGAGAACTTTTGGACAAGTTTGCAGTTTGGAGATTTAAAGACGAGCAGCAAAAGCAAAGGAGGAAGATCAGCAGAGCTTGTCAACAACTGATTGGATCATCCAGGACATGTTACTGTGAAACATCATGTCTACTGTCAAGATACTGTGCTATTATATAATTGAACTGTAATACAGCAACAGTCTTCAGGCAGAGGCCTCTTTGTTGCAACACTGACTGCTACTGGAAATTTTGCATGAGTTACAACAACATTTAGTTTTCTTCTGGGATAAATAAACAACCCCACCTTTTTTAGCTCCAGTCTTGTATTGCTGCCACTCTGCTTCTGCTTCAGTGGTCACTCCAAAAAACTCCCCAACACACAGCAGCAGCTGCAGGAAAACATCTGTTTTAACTGAGGCTGAGCGGAAGTCAAATAGTGGAAATAAAGTCAAACTCACATCAAACTGTCCTGTTTTCTTCTGGATGGCCTGAACTCTGCTGAACAGAGAGCTCAGCCTGCCCTCAACATCCCCGCACACCAAACTGTGAACACACAACAAGCAGCTGCTTTACTGCTCCAGAAAAAAATATTTTAATCTATTTAAATCCACATTCACACTTAATCATATAAACCACCCAGTAGCTGAAACTCACACTCTGACCGGCTGGTCTCCCATATTCTGCTTCAGTTTGGCTCCTTCGGGTTTTAGCAGCTTCGACACATCGTCCCTCTCCAAAAAGGGTCCCTGTGAAACAAACGCGGAACTATTTATGGACAATATCTTTACTGCATTTGTTTTTTTACCTGCAAAAGTTTGGACTTGAAGTTAAAATATAAATGTAAAAGGAGAAATAAGGAGCATTTGTAGAGAATAATTGAAGTGTTTTTCTGTTAAAATCAACTGAATATATAAACAAATTGTATTTTCCCACTGGTTGCCAGGTTTGCTTTTTTGCACCTAAATGGATCTCTGACATGTTTGTTTCAAAGTTGTTAAATATGTGGCTGCCAGCTCGTTTGCAATAGTTTTGATTTGTTCTTTTTGTATACTTTTGTGAATGTTTTATTTGTTTGGATAACTTCAGATTTAGATGCTGTGTAGCTGGAAGGATTTTTGCTTTTACTTATTTACTGACAACAAAGTATTAATTTTACTTGTGGAAGTAGATTAACATCTCAAAAGCCACAAATAATATCTAATCTATGACCCCAAAATCCCAGAGAATTTGGCGATGAGGCTTCATGGATGAAAAGTAGCACCAAAGAAAAAAAATGTAAATAATTTCTTCCATGCATCATAATGGACAAGGATCATTCCCATGATTGCAACTTATTTCTGTCTGACTTCTTACTGGAGAAGAGAGGTGCAATTCAAGAATTTTGTTTGCTTGTTTTTATCTTTTTTTTTTTTTGTTTTGTTTTTGTTCCAAATGAACAAAAGATTTCCTATTTACCATTTTAAAATAGAACTGGGATCAAACCTGGCAACCCGTGGCCTTCGCGAGGCTCTCCTTCATCCTGGCACTTTACCTTCATCCTGGTATCTCGAAAGTCCCCGGACCAAAAACAGGAAGTAAGTAGCCGAATCAAAAGTAAAATTCACTTTCTCTTTGGTGGCCAGAGACCATGGGATGTGCAGGAGCGAAACCAAAGCATAACAATCGTTTTAAAGCCTAAATCATTGCCAAAACCACACAGGCGCCATAAGCTAAAGCTTGTCGACAAACATGGCGCCGCAGATTTTTATGTCGTCTTTCTTTTAGCTCGATGCTAATTGTTAGCTCCAGAGCAGCAGCAAAAAACACGACAAATCTTGGGGGTTTTTGCAAGATTTTGAACGTCTGGGATATGACTCTGTTTTTACTTATTGTTTTATAGAAGTAAACAATGCACATTGAGTGCCTAATTATATTTTCCTCAGCCTGACGGGGCCGCATTCCAAACCCCATAAAGATAATGATATTTTATGCATTATATTCTGATTCACATATACTGTAAACCTATTTTAGTGTAGTTTTCACATGAACTTAACTTTAAATTACAAAGTTTATAATTCGGCATCCGTATAATATAATAATGAGGTTTATTAATGGTAATTTGTTATAAAATAATCCAGAAAAGTACTTGTTGACATAGTTTCAAGCTGAAAACGGTAGAGGGCGACAGAGAGTGAAGCAAAATTAATTAAAAGTTCAATATTTTTTGTAAATGTATGACTAGTAAAGAGTTATTTTTCAGTTATGGTGTATTCAGCTTTATTTATCTTCATAAAACAAGAAAATAAACTTACAAAGTCCTTTGTAGACATTTGACCGTTTATCCTAATACAGTAATGTGACATAAATGATACATTACCTGCACAGTTTTAACAATTCAAACAATTTAATAAAGGCTTTGTTTTAGCAATTGTGTCATCTTTTTCTTTTAACTTTTGATTTAAAAGTAGTTTGTCAGAATTTAGCTGATATTTTCAGAGTTCTTGTTTTCTCTTTGCACATAAAAAGTTTTTTTGTTCTGCATTATGTTCTGCTACAGTCACACCCAGCTTTGTGTCAGGGAAGCAGCAGTTAGGTTGGTGTGTTTTGTGTCTCCAGCAGGAGCAGGATGAGCTCAGCAGCAGCAGAAGAACCATCAGCATTAGAAAGCGTAAAGCCCGTCACTTTAACTCATGATAGTGATGGCAGCATCATCCTGCACTGTCCTTCAAATGGTGGGTCAACAAGCAGACAACTCAGTAATTAAATTTCAGTGAACTTCTAAAATGTAGCAAAAAAACAAAATGATTATTGTTTTTAGATGTATTGAAGTCAACGAGGCCATGTAAAGTGTGATTTTGTCTGATGACTGAGGCGTGAATGTTTGTCTGCAGACGAGGAATTGGAGCCTCTTCCAAAGAAGACGCGAGTTTCCACAGAGGAAAACCCGGAGACGCCTCAGTTCTCTGTCATCACCAGTGAGATGTTTGTTTTTTCTGTCTCTGAATTTTATTTGTTTACATCTAAAGGGACTCTGGATCTCACAATCTTCATATCACATTGTGAACTGGAACAAACCAAGAACTGTCAGAAGCTGCGTTTCAATGTTGCAGCTTCTGACGTTTTAGTTTATTTTGATAAACTAAGAAGTGAATAAGTTTGTTCATGAGATAAGTCCAATAGTAACGTCCTGTTGTTGATTGTGCGACTTGTGTGATTCAAAAAAAGTGTTTCCACAGCAGTTTTGGAAAATAAAGCAACAACCAAAAAATATTCCTCCTCACCCAGCCGCCCAAACTATTTATAAATTTTTTTATTTTATTTTTTTCGAAATTGCAGTGTTTCATTTAAGAAAATTAATTTTCGAAATGTCAAATTGTGCAATAAAAATGCAGCTAATATGAGTCAATAGTGTTGAGGAAAGAACAAAGACATTTACATTTTTCATTTGGTTTGCTGCCTCTGGTTCAACCATGTCTTCTTCTACTTAAATCTATTCTTGCTTCACTATGAACACAAACAATATGACACCTACTGGCTAAAACTGGTATTGACAGCTTTGCCGTAACATTTTCTGGACTTTAAAGTACAACAATCTACACATTTGCAATCAGTCGATCTTTATTAAAGTAACAAGTTCATTAACCGTCCAGCCACTAGTAAAATAGAAAACAAATATTTCAGATGTTTGAAAGTGGAGCCACAAACCAAACCTGATGTGAAGGTTTTAAATTTCCTGTTTCCTCTGTTAGTGTCTGAAAACGACGAGAGCTTTGAGGTGACGATGACGGCCACCGCTGAAGGCGACCTGCCTGAGGACGGCGTCACTGAGATCGAGGTAGACGTGAAGCTGGAACCGGTGGAAGATGGTTCTGAGTCCAACAGAGCAAGTCCAACAGAACCGTTTTTGTCTGTTGGTGCAGATTCTGCATGAGGACAAAGAGCAGAAGGCCGAGGTGTCACCAGTCAGTCAGGCCTGGTTCACCACGAAAGAGGATAAAGACACGCTGGCCAACAAAGGTCCAAACACCCACAGCTGTTATTTATTCAAAATAACAGAACCGAGTCCGATAGACTCGGTTCTGTTCCATTGGGGATCAAAAGTTAAAGTTCTGTGGTTCTCTTTCTCTCTGCTCTCAGTCAAACCAACCAAATAGTTTCAGTTTAATAATGATTTCTGTTCTTCTTCAGGTCACAGGTGGAAGCAGGGAATGTGGTCGAAGGAGGAGATCGATATCCTGATCAACAACATCGACCGATACATGAAGGTACGCCGTCACCATTTCTGTTTTCTTTTCACAAGCGTGTAAAGCTGTGATACCAAATTAAAAAATCTGTTTAAAAATATAAAATATTTTTTTGAATTTGAAAAAACATTTTGTTGCTGTAACATAAACAGGTTTATTTTAAAATATCTTTATAAACCATAATAGATCCAAATATAAAAGGTATTTTTCAATGAAAAATGTACAGTTCTTCTACTTTCTATACTAGTAATTATAGAAAAACAGCTAATAAAAAAAAACTTTGTGTTTCACCTAACAACTATAATTTTAAGCAAACTTAAAGGAGACCGATTCAGCAAAATTCACTTTTTGCACCTTTTTATTCTTCCATTTGAGTCTCACCTGCTTCTAAAAACAAAGTACTTAAAAAATTTAATTTTCTAAGAATGTTTTTGTGCAAAATAATGTGATGAACATGTTTTGTGTCGGCCATTGACCTATCCTAACCTGTTCAAGGATGCAGAATAGGTCACATTTAAGTTTCTCAGTGAAAAATGTTAACCCAAAAACATGACAAGATGTGAATCTGAATGAAAAGTGCTGGCGGTCCAAATTTCTACCATCCTTGAGTCGAAGTTTGGGGGCCATATAAAATCATTCCAAGGGCCACAAATGTCCCCCCGGCCTCACTTTGGACATCCCTGACGTAAAGAACCCTCTGTGCTTTCAGCGCCGCGGCATCCAGGATCCAGCAGAGATCATCTTCGAGATGTCGAAAGAGGAGAGGAAGGATTTCTACCGCTCTGTGGCGCTGGGGCTGAACCGGCCGCTGTTCGCCGTCTACAGGAGAGTTTTACGGATGTACGACGACAGAAACCACGTCGGCAAGTGAGTTCTGGATCAGACGGCCGGAATCAGGCTGCGACCCAGTCAGCAGAGCTAACTGGTCCTTCTCCTCTCCAGGTACACTCCAGAGGAGATAGAGAAACTTAAAGCGTGAGTAAAACCAGCATCTTATTACCCAGTTATCAAAACAACAACAACTCAGTTTTAACTTTTAAAGATCTTTTTGTTGTTTTTAAATTTCAAAACAAGTAACTGCAATCAATCATATTTTCATGTTTACTAACATTTCTTGCTTTCGTGGAACAAATGATTTACAAAATAGCAAAAATAATATTTCCAACATTTATGTCAGTTTTATTTTTTCACAAATTACTAATGACTGAAACTTATTGTGACTACAAAGCTTTTTTTTTTATCAAAATAAAAGAAAAATTCTGGCTAAATAATATGAAAAATCATCTCTAATCTCTACTGCTTCTAAAAACACTTTTAATAAAATAGCAAACTTTACAAAACTTAACTCTGATAATTTAACCAGTTTTGTTTTTCTTACGATCAATAATTGAAATTTATTGTGACGATGATAAATCAGTGAGAGTTTTTCATAATAAATAAATATGATAAATGCTCAGAGTCACTGCTTCTGGAAACATGCAGCTGTTTTAGCAAAAATAAAAGTTCTAGTAATTCAGTTTTTTTAGTCACCATCAGTGACTGAAATATCAACATTCTTATCGCAATAAGGATTTTTTTGTGATAAATGAGAAACAATTCGACAAAATATCCAGTCCTTGTTTTAGCTGCGTCTAACAACAAAGCCATAAAAAACCTGCAGCCATTTTAGCAAAATTAACATTTATGATAATTTAATTAATTGTATTTTATTTTCCATCAATGATTAAAATTTATCATGAAAACAAGAAATCCAAATTTTCATCAAGATTTAAAAATGTTCATGATAAAATGATAATAGGATAAAATATTTTGTTTTATTTTGCTGTTTCAGTTAAAGCTGCTGCCACCTGGTGGCCGGAGGCTCGTTTACCTGCCAGTCCTGATTCGACTTGTTTTTTTTTCCAGGTTGAGGGAAAAACACGGGAACGACTGGGCGACGATCGGAGCGGCTCTGGGTCGCAGCGCCTCTTCCGTTAAGGACCGCTGCCGTCTGATGAAAGAAACCTGCAACACGGGTCAGCATGACAAGAACCTCCTGTTTCAGCTGCCTGCTATCGCTAACGCTAATGCTGCACATCAGGTAAATGGAGCGAGGAGGAGGAGGGACGCCTGGCGGAGGTGGTGTATGAAATGGCAGGCGTGTCGCCTGGGTCGGCGGTCACGGCCGGGGTTTCCTGGGCGACGGTGGCGGATCGGGTTCGCACGCGCTCAGAGAAGCAGTGTCGCTCCAAGTGGCTGAACTACCTGAACTGGAAGCACAGCGGAGGAGCCGAGTGGACGAAAGAGGACGACCTGAACCTCCTGCGCAGGTCCGAGTCCGGCGCCGGGCAGCCGCGGGCTCAGAGGCTCGACGATTTCAAATCACTTCCTGTTTCCTGTAGGATCTCGTCGGTGAAGGTGGAGGACGAGAACGACATCAAGTGGGAGGATCTGGCGTGGGGGTGGAGTAGCGTGCGCTCACCTCAGTGGCTGCGCTCCAAATGGTGGAGCATCAAGAGACAAGTGGCCAACCACAAGGAGATCCCGTTCAGCGGTGAGCAGACTGCCGGGAAAGTAACTTATTACTGAGTACTTCATAAAAAGTAACTCCTAGCTCAGATTTACTGATGCAGCTTTGCGTTTGCGGTGCCAGTCCTCCTGAAGGGCCTGGAGGAGCTGATGACATCATCACAGACTGCGTCCCTCCCCGGCAGTCCCTCCTCTTCCTCGCTCCAGATCCGCCTGGCCCGGCTGGACGACAGCAGCGGCTGCAGTCCTGTCACCGGCCCGCTGGCGGCGCTGCAGATCCCGGTCCAGATCCCGCTGCAGATCACTCACCTGGGTGAGAGCCGGCGACCTTCTGGCGACCCGACGCAGCCGAACGTGAGGAGGCGTTCTTCCTGCTCACCGTGTTTCTGTTTGCAGCGTCAGACGCGGCTGCAGACGGAGACGCCATCACTCTGAACTCAGGAGCGCTGCAGACCTTCGAGATCCTGCCGGTGAGTTTGACCCAGCAGGACACCGTAGTTTTAATTTTAACCCATAAAGCTGCGTCTAAAATTAAAAGGTGACCTATTGTGCTACCTTAGGATGGTTCTGTGGCCTATTCAAAACATCCTCAACACTTTTTGCAAAAATCATTGTTAGATAATGAGTTTCTTCATTGAGTTCTGTCTTTGTAAATCCAAATAAAACTTTATTCAGGTAATATAATTGTATTTCTCAGCGTGGCGCTAACCCTCTTAAATCAGACAATCATTCGTTTGTTTTGTTTCCAGTCCTTCCAGCTGCAGCCAACCGGAACGCCCGGAACCTTCTACCTCCAGACAACGTCCAATCAAAGCCTTCCTCTCAGCCTGTCCAATAACGGCACAGTAACCCTGACGACAGGCTCCTCCCCCTCCTCCCAGGAACACATCATCCTCCACAGCCTGTCGGTGGGTCTCTCTCTCTCTTTCTCTCTCTCTCTCTCCTTTCTGTCTGTCCGTCCTCGTCGTTTGTTTTTTGGCAGCCATCTTGTTTTTCCTGCGCAGACCGACAGCCTCTGTTCTGGAGATGGCGTCATCATCCAGACCGTCTCCGCTGACCCCGCCCCCTCGCCGGAGGGGCAGAGCCAGGACCTCAACGTGGCCGCACTCCTGGAGGAGTCGGAGGCGGTTGTTACAGAAACGCCTGAGGCAGGAAGTGAAGATTTCACAGAGAAGGTAAAAAAAACCTCCGGGAATGTAAACAGCTCAGGTTTGGGTTTCCAGAACTGATCCGACAGTCTGGAGAATCTGAACCAGGTTCTGAAAATCTTGAAGTAAATTAAACGACTGAATCCCTGAACTCATCCTCGACATGTTGTCCAGGGTGCAGTGGTGCATCCTGGGATACCGACGGGCGGCACCGTTCTCATCGCCTCTCCGCCCAACATCAGCAGCACCTTGACAGGTAACAGCAACGCAGCACCGACCAAAACGCTCCTGACCAACTCCTGTAACCCTGCTGACCTCTTCGCTGCCCGCAGATCCCATCCTGGAGAACCAGGAAGGTTCGGACTGACCGGATCAGAATCAGAACCGGATCAGAACCAGAACCGGATCAGAACCCGATCGGAGTTGAACTGTGAGTTGTTTTTATCGGGACGTTTTTAGCTGAAGACCTCGGGGAATCCCTGCATGAAATGTGAAGGCAGCGTCGACCCGAACGCGGCGTCTGGGACGAACCGGGCCAAACGGACTTTATTTATAAAATCATGCTTGTCGCCATGGTGATTCGCCAAGGACTAAAACTATTTGTTTTAAATGTTGACGTTGTGAGAAATCAGACTTTTTTGGGTCAGTTTTTGCCTTCATTCAGTTTGTTCTTGAATTATTTCACAGCCACACATGAAATAAAATCTGTTATATTCCCACCATCACGTGGAAGTCGGACCGCAAACTCCAGAGTTTAAAGTCAGAAAGGGAAAAGATTCACGCCGGCGTGTTTCAGACATGGAGGCAGAAAAAAGAGAGCAAATCTGTAAGAAAAATCTATGAAATGTTTTATTTTAGTTCAAAAATTTCTAGAAAACAATTCAAAATCTGATTTCCAAAACATGAAAACTGGAGACAAAATTCAGACATCTTGAAATTAATCTCAGAATTTTTTAAAGAAAAAAAGCAGGAATTTCTGCTTTCCAAAAGTTGACAATTTGCAAGAAAATAATCAAAATTTTTAGATAAATCTCAGATTTTTTTAAAAAAAACATGAAAATGTCTGAGCTCCAAAAGTTTTAAATCTTTGAAACTTTCCAAATGTAGATTTTTTTTTTTAGAAAATGTGAAGTTAAACTGAAAATTTTAGTTTGAGGTCCTGCAAACTTTCAACATTTTGAGCTCAAAAATTTACGCGTTTTTTCAGAATATTTCTGAGATGAAACTCAAAATTTTAGAATATTTTTTTGAGACAAAAGAAAGAGACAATGTGGACAACTGGAAGTAAACTGGTTTCCAGTTATGCTTCCTTCCTTACTTCCTTCCTTCAGTCTTGAAGGAAACGTTTTGTAGAAACATTTCTGAGGCGTTCAGGGAAAGTTGGCATTTCCACCAACATTCAGTCGCACAGAGGCCAGTTGACTGACATCATTCAGGCTGTTACTTTATAAAATCACAATGAAACACATTAAAGTGACAAAATGGAGGGAAAACTGTTCATTTCTGTTTATAGAACCTAAAATTGACTTTTCTCTGATTTTCCAGTTTTAAGGAACAGAAACAGTTTCCGTTCGTCTCTAGGCAGACTAACGATGCGTAACGAGTCCAGCTTAGATTCAACACCAGTGGGATTAACGGAGCAGATTATTTCAGTGAGGCTGGGCGATATGATGCAGATTAAAATGTAACTTTTTCATACTGGAACAGATTTTGTGTTTTTTATTTAAATCCGTCTGAGTTACGACCAGGCTACCAGACTATGTTTAATTACAAGAATAAAATCATATCATCAGAATAAAGACGCAATTTTACCAGAAAAACCGAAATTATGAGAAAAAAGTAAGGATCCGAACTCAGTCGGTTTTTCTTTTAAATAAATTCAGTTGTTTCCTTGACAGTTTTAAAATCCTGATAATTAACTGATAAACTGTTAAAAGATTTGGTATTTCTATTTATTATTCAACAGACTTTATTCTGGTGATACTACAACTTTATTCTGTTATTATTGTTACTATTCTCATATAAGCAAAACAAAATGGCCGCCCTGGGAGTGCTGACATCACTCTGAATTACAGACAGAACTGGTGGACAAAAATCTACATTTTCCAAAATTAAAATCCTCATAAACCAAAAATCGGATTAATCTCCCAGCTCCAATTTGATCAAACATCTTGCAAGCATCTAGTAAAAAAGCAGATAAAGCTTCACTTGATTCTGGTTTAAAGTGAAAAATCTCCCTGTTACAACTAGTAAACTAAAAGAAGCTTTGGATTCCTGACCGTAGAGCCTCCCCTGAACGCACCGTGGGATTGAAGATCCTTTTAATCCAAATTCAGAGGTCTGAGGTTTCAGCCTCAAATCGCCCGACAGGAAGCCAACCTCCTTAAATTGGAACATTTTTCACTTCAACCTTCAACTTTCATTCTCTGGTTGTGAATCACTGTGACTCTCTAGCGCCCCCGGTGGAGGCTTAGTGTGTTCAGATCTTTATTTCCAATCACTGAAACACAAGTTGGATCCTCGCTGGAGGGTCAGGATTCACGGGGACGTAAACAATTCTGTTTGAGTTCCGCCGTCTGAACTCTGACCCCGGGAACTTTAACCCTCCGTGTTTTTGGTCCCGTCTCGGTCCACGTTGGACCTCCCTCTGTCAGTCAAAGCCATGAGGTCCCCTCTTCCTCCTCCTCTTCCTCTACCTGACGTCGAAGAAGTAAAGGTTGGCACATAAACACAGCAGCACGATGGTGGCCAGCATGTAGTAGATCAGCTTCCTGAATTTGGGCTCCAGGTCGCCCTGTCGGTACCAGAATATCTGCAGAAGAAGAAAACCTTTCAACTTTCACCTAGAAACACTACATCTGTTTTTTTTTTTGTCATTTTAAAAGCAGAAAAGTTTGAAATCCTCAACTAAAATGTTTTATTATGTTTGACCAAAATACTGATGGTTAAAATGTAAAAACAGTAACAGAGTAAACGTATTAAAGTATTTTTTAAAATAAAAACAAAGCAAAGTTTTCTTTTTAAGTTGCAACTTAAAAACTCAAACTTTTGCTGCTGGAGTTTCTTCACCATTTTGAGCGAAAATTAATTAAACAAAAATGTTTCCAGAACCTGCAGGAAACCTGAAAAATTTTTAACAAAACTTTAAATTCAAATTTGTCTGCCGGGAAGGAAAATGTAAACGTGTTGCAGCAATATTTCCATCTTTGATAGATTGTGTTAGAAAGCCAGAGAGTATTCCAGATCAGTGTTTTAGTTACCAGCACGATGGTGGAGCCGCAGGCCAGCAGGATGCAGACAGCAAAGAAGATGTTGAGCGGCCGCGGAGGCAACGAGGGGAAGACGAAGGAGAAGATCACGGTTATCTAGGAAATAGAAGATCAGCATTTAGTCTGAACGTTCACAGCAGAGATCGGCTTGATTGGTGAGTGGAAGTTGCAACATTTATTGCACATTTATTGCAGTTGCTGTAGTTCTCTTTGAAAAATCTGTTCCCTTCCTGGCCTGTGGGGGCGCTGCACCAAGAACCACTGAATGAAACAACATTTAAACCTCCAGATGGAAACTAACAAGCTGCTCTCAGATTTTAGCAGTTGTAGATTTCTCTTGTCTTTGGCTAAAGACCAGGAGCCATTTCTCCTGCTAACGTTATACTGGGTTGTGTTTACCCAGAATGCCCTGGGCTGAAGTCCACTTCCTGGTTTTGGAGCAGTCTCCGGTGCGGTCCGGCTACAAATGTCAGTCTGGGTTTGATTAAAAGGAATTGTGCTTTGCTTTGAATGCACGTGTGAACACCAAGTGGACTGGAGACCCTCCAGAAGCAGGGCATTCTGGGTAAATACAACCAAAACAAATGCGCTAGCCTCACGCTAGCGGAAGAGAAATTCTTCAACCATTAAAATCTGACTCCACTCAATTTTTTTATATTTGATCAAGAATTAAGTTGCGCTCAGCGTCTTCAGAGGTCTTCATGTTGTTTTCTTCAGTGGTTCTTGATGCAGCGCCCCCACAGGCCAGGAGGAAAACAGCTTGCTCAAAGAGTTTGGTTGGTTTGAGAAAGAACCACAGCAGCTGGAAGTGGAACAAATGTTGCAACTACTGAGCTACCAGGTGTTAAAACAGCCTCAGACTTCAGCCATGAGAAGCTGCAGTCTGGCTCTTAGAAACCCGACTCAGAACTAAAGATGCAGGTCATGAAGGTGTCCAAATGTTTAGAAAACTCAGTAACTTCAGTTCTGGCAGTGGGACGGGTTTGAACTAAATGGATCAACAGCAGAACTCACCAGAACCACCACAGACGTGAAGCCTCCTACGACCATGTTGATGATCCGATCCTGCAGGACAACGTTCAACACGTGACTCCAGAACCGGCTGGAACCCAACATGGTAAAACCTTTGAATCTTGAGCTAACCGGAGTTTTTACCCGAGCCGACGTCTCTCCGAACAGAGGTCGGTTATCCAGGCCGCTGGTGCCGTAGGTACGGCCTGAGAACTCGTCCATGGCGGCGGCAGAAGCCCAATCAGTCCCGTCTCAACAGCGCCGCCTCCTGGAAACGCTCAGCCACTGCGTTAAGCTCATCTCCAGCCCGGCGTCGGTGAATCGGTCAGAGCGAACAGCCGGGTGGACACATGGCGGAGGCTGGGAGGTAGGAGAGACGCAGAAACTCGTTTTTACCACAGATTGAAATATATCAAGTTAGGAACGTTTTTAATTCCTGAATGATGCAACAAACAACATGGCTTCCAGAACGGCAGGAGAACAAATGAGTGAAAAACGACAAAAAACGAGAATGATGATATAATGATGATATGAGAGAAGATAAGCGAGAAAAAATAGAAGAAAATTGAGAATGAAAAATGAGAAAACGTGGAAAAACAGAACTGAAAGGAGAACAAAGAAAGAGAAAAATTAGAGAACAAGATAAAAAAACAATAGAACAAGAGAAACTAGAATGACAGAAACGGAAGAAAAAAACGAAAGCATGACTAAATAAGAACAAAAAGAGAGGAAGTAAGGAATAAGGAAGGAAACGGGAAAGAAAGGCTTTAAGGACAAAAAGGAATCAAGGATTCAACTTTTTCCCAGATCTTTAAAATTAAATTAAAAAAATGAAATGTAGTTTTAACTCATATTTAAGGTTTTAAAGAGTTGTTGATGCTGATGGTAGGAAGGATCTCCTGTAGCAGTCTGTATTACATCAACTCTGAAGTAGCTTCTGACTGAAGACTCTGCTATTGAATGCAGAGGACTGTCTGTACTGTTCCTGATTTCATGAATGTGTGACTGAAGTCAGAAAAGGGAAAATTAAATCAGAATGAATGGAGTAAATTCTGCTGGTTCTGTTTTGGGGAGGAAGGACAGACGGTGGTTCCCTCGTGGTGCTGGGTCACGTCCAGATTTCACTGAACCTTTACTTCCTCTCATTTTCAGCAGTGATAACAAACCATAACCAAAAGAGGAAGCTCAAACCAGAACCACTTTCTGCACACAGACTGAGTTTCCTTTTCTGGTCTTTTACGTAAAATCCCGACTGGAAAGAGTGAATACTTTCCCAGGGAGTAAATACTTTCCCAGAGTCCAGATCGGCTGCATGTTGACTTACTGGATATGCAAACTAACAGATCAGGTCAGACATTTTCTGGTTCTTGTGAATCATTGATGAACTAGTTCTTGTTTCTGCCATTGGTTTTGGTGAACTTTGAACATGAACGCTTTCAGTTCAGTGATGAACTGATTGTTTGAGAGAAACTATCATCTCTGTCTGATGAAGCTCTGTGGGAATCTTCGGTCGGTTTGTCATCTTTGGTTTGTTTTTGTTTTCAAAGCAAAACCCAAATGTGGGCGGAGCTATGATACCAAAAGGGGGCGTGGCCAAGTGTGGAAGGGAACCAGTCGCCACCTTTCAACCCAAAGATGGAAGCACTGAAGGAGTTTAGACAAAAATATTGCAGAATTAAACAAATTATTTTACAGAAACTTAAACACAAAGTATTTTTTGGTCTAGTTTCTAATGTAAATATTGTAGTGCACTTGGAATAAACTAACTTTTACACCACTTGTAGCAAGACATAGGAATTTATTTAAAGTATATACTTCCTTAATACTGATGTGTTGTAAGTTAATCTGCCAGTGAAATTAATACTTTTTTAATCAGTATTATGAATTTATAGGCTTAAGTATATATCTTGCTTAAAATTTACTTGTAAGTTAATTTAGGTGTATTAATACATTTACATTAAAAACTGAACTTAAAAAAAAGGTTTTTGAGTTTTTCAATTTAGACATTTTACCTTCCAATAAATAGGTGATTTGTGGCTGAGTTTCCCCTTAAACCATTGACAATAAATTATTTCCAACATGTCAAAATGAGCAGCGAACAGTTTGTCACCCAGAAAATGAAAAGCTGTTACTTCCTGGAATCACTTATTTCTCAGAAAACCAGCAGGAAAAATGATTGTTTTGACTATTTGAAATACAAATAAATTGATGGTTTCCTACCTTTTCTGCAGGTTTTAATCATCTAAACCATCATATTTCCGAAACGGCATATTGAGGAGTTTGAAACATTTTATTTTCGATTTCAAAGAACCTCCCTACTTCCTGTTTCTGCCAGCACACCTGGTGCCGCCGGCCTAAATTTAGACAAAACAAGCTAAAATGAAACATTTCACCTTCTGCTCAGAGCAGAAATGATAAAAAGGGAAACAAAAGGAGGAGTGAGGAGAAAAGTCACGCAGCTGTGTTCATTTCCTCCTGTTCTGGCTGAGAAGACGGGGGAAAACGGAAAAACTCCTCCGCAGAGCTTTATCAGCAAAAAACCCAACGACACCAGAGAGAAAACAAGAGGCTCATTATAAACGGGAATAAACCTGGCCTGAAGCTACATTCCTGCACCGCCTTGTGATTCACTAGGCTTCTTAAAATGAGTCCACAATGAAACATTTCACACAAAATGAGCCAACATGCCAGGAAAACACAAACAGGTAAAAATTCTATTAAATTCACACAATTGGAGCTAAATTAGACAACTATATATATATTTCTTGAATTCTTTTACTTTCAGACTGTTTTAATGATGCATAACCGTGGCAGCGATCTATTATTTTTATAGCTGATGGATGCAGAGAGAAGAGGAGAAAGTTCAAACTTTTATCCCCTACTCCAGCATCTTTCCAGACAAATTTAAAGAGGAGTGGCAAAAGCAGATTAGGTGGATTAGCAGAGTTTGTCATGTTATGGTGGAACATCCCAGATTTTGAGCCTCATCATGTCATGTTGGACATACATCATCATTCTTCAGTCAGAGGCCTGTTCAGACACGCTGCAATACTGACTGCTACTGCTGCCCCCAGCATCATCAACTCTTTGTGGGGTGGAGATAAGGTGTTTCTGAGTTAAAGTTAAAATGTAATAAATCTGAAAATCTAGCATATTTAGCTGCCTTTTAGAGCCACTAAAACATTCATCTGTATCCAAACCCTGATTTATTTCTAAGCTTCTTCTCAGCAGCACAGAAACTAATGAAACAAACTCAAGATGTTGAGTCTGGAGACCAACATACTGCAAAACAAATCCCCCAGCTGATGAGAAATACAGATTTATGAAAGTAAACACTGGAAGCGCTAGCTTGAACCGAACGGAGCTTATCTACTTAAATACACATTTTGTTTGTTTTAAGGCGCACAATCCGCATTCACCCTTTAGGAAGAGATTTTATCTTAAAGTTACGTCGAAAACATTTTCAATTGACGCAAAACCAGCAGAATGAAGCTTCGTGCAGCAGCAAAGTGAAGCTTTACTCACAGCAGAGCTAAGCTAACGGATCATCCGCTCGGAGAGAATCACAACATTCAGCGGCAGATGAACCAAACGAACCGCAAACCTCCCGGTTCCGACGCTTTCACTCGCCTCGCAGATCCCGAGTGGATCCGAGTGGAAACATGGTTTCACAGAAGGTCAGAGTTAAAGGGAATAAGCTCCGGTTTTCAAGCTCCTTAAAGGTGACTTCACTTTAACTGTTGAGCCGACCGAGATGCGTTCAGGGACGCAGGCGCGCTCCGGAAATCTCAGTTCACCTGACATCACAGTGAAATATGCTGCAGCCAAACAAATATATTTGTTGAGTTATAATGATACTGAAAATAGTTATTATTTAATACATAATTGTTTATTATTTATAATAATTATTATAGCAACACTGATTATTATTTATTAGTATAATAATAATAATTAAAATTATTACAATAATTATTGTTAATACTATTAATGATTCTTATTCATAAGTCATTATAATTATTATAATTCATAAGTTCATTGTTATGTCAATAATAACTGTACTTTATAATATAAAAACAGTCAAACCTACAAGCATCATTTCATTGTATTATATATATATATATATATATATATATATATATATATATATAATATTCTTAAAATGAAAAGTTAGATGTTTTTGTTCTGTTCTTATTGAATACAGTTGAACTCTTGTTGCAGAAGCAGCTGTATGTAGTGAGGTCAGCTGATGGGATCAGTTTTCTTTCTACTTACTGTTAACTTTCATCTAATCCTTAGATGTGCATAATCTCCCCCCTTGAAGTTAGCGTCACATGAGCAGAGTGTGACAGGCCCAGAGATTAATAACAGCAAAGAAAACACATCTTTAGTGCGTAAAGTCACGAGACAAACAGGCGTCACGTTTCTCTGAGGTAGAAAAACAACCTTTAAGAAAACAGAAACTGCTCAGTTTTTATTTAACTTGTTCACCAGTTTTGATGAACTGAAGATGAAACATTTTGCTCATTTAAGTGAGATGGTGTCTGTTTGAAGGGAAATAAAACTTTAATTAATCTTTTGCTGGATGTGAAGTTTTTCCGTTTCTTTTGCAGTTGCGATGCTCCGCATCATTTACAAGCCGGTGAGGAGCTCAGTGCGCCGGCGGAGGCGGAGCTTCAGTTTCTTTTTCGCGAAGTGACTCGAGTGAAGGTTTTCTTTACTTTTGTTAATAATCTTCCAGCAGGTGGCGCTAAAGCATGTAAGAAAATAGGAGCTTAAATTATTTAAGATCAATGTAAACATTAAAATTTAAAATATCTGTCAAAATGAAGAACAATTGTTCAAATAGTAATGGTACTGAAAAATACAAAAATATTATTTATTTATTTTTATTTAATTTTGACTGTCTTTCAACAAAACAACTGCTTTGATTGTAATTTTGTAAACAGCTGTTTAAAAATGACAAAGTAGTTTTTTGGATTGTGAAAGAAATATAAAAAGCAAAAAGAAAAGTTAACATTTGAAAGCTTCAGTTGCTCTATTTTTTTTAAATTCATAAGTGTAATGAAAAAAACTTTTCAATGTTTTTTGTTTTACTTTAATAATTTTATTTTAAAAAGTGCTAAATCGTTGCAACAATTAAAATAACTCCTCCATAATTGTACCAACATAATAAAAGGTATTTTAATCCTTCTTTAATTTAAGAATTGAATGTTGTTATAGTAATGACTTCAGCTTATTTTCTCACACCGTATTTTTTTGTGTCACACTGTCCTTTGTTTTACGTGTCTGATTATCTTTTGGTTGTGCCCTATCATCCTGTTTTTAAACTTTAGTGATGATTTTTAATAAAGAAATAATAATAAAATGCCATTCACATCATGGCGGACACGCTGAGTGGCAGCAAAGGCGTGTTTGGCCAGCAGATGGCGACATTCTGAAATCACTTACTGGTTGGAACGTAGAAGAAGAGCAGTTGAACTGGGCGGACCAAAATCAAACCGAGATGATGATGTTGAAGCAAAACGAAGTTGTGGATGTTCGGTTCGGCTGAGAGATGAGTTCGTTCGCGGGTCGGATGAAGGAGTATCCCACCGTGTCTTTGGACCGGTTCGACCGGGAGAACCTGCACGCGCAGGCTTATTTCCTCTCTCACTGTCACAAAGGTGATGAAACCGGACAACATTTGGCTGTTTTTGGTTCTGCCGCGTAAACTCCTGGTTTCTTCTGCGTTTCAGACCACATGAAAGGCCTGAAAGGACCTCTGCTGAGGAGGAAGCTGCAGCTCAGGTGAGCACATCTTACCTGTCGTTTGGCTACAGATAAGAAATGAAACTATTCTTCCTCTGCTTCATGGTTCCTGCAGCTGTTATTAAGGACATGGAGTCTAAAAACACGTTCAGGTTGCAGTGTGTAACCTTTATCAAAACCTGTTTTCATATATTAGTTGAAATTCGTGACTATATAATGTTGGTCTATAAGTGGAAAACTAGCTCTGGTTTCTCCCAGCGCTAACTGGAAACAGCCTATCAGAGCCGGGAGGTGGGTCTTAGCGCTGTCAATCACAATCTCATGATGTGTAGGTTTGTCACAATAAAACATTTTGCTTGATGATAAATTGTCCCAGAAATGATAAACATAAAGGAAAACGTTGTTTTGAGACAATTGTTTAGTAATATCATGGTAATGGCATAATAATGCAAGAAAACAGCCTCAAAGATCAATTTAAATTTGAATGAACATTGAAAACTGGAACTGGGAGACATTTCAAATATTGGAAATAAATCAACAACAAAAATAAATAAATAAATAAAATTGACATTGAAGTCACTATAAACAAAATTGTCCTTCCTAAAAAGGGATTTTTGTGACCGACACTCCAAACTGAAGACTTTTGTCCTCCAGTTTTTGGAAAACAAATCGTTTTAATTTGTGATGTGATTAATTGATTTATTGCGACAGGCCTACTAGCAAAGCCTGTTGTGAATGCTAAGGCTAGATAGCCTGGCCACCGATGACGGCGGATAAACGGTTTTCCTGCAAGTTGTTTCTCCGCCATGATTGACAACAATAAAACCCTTTTCCTGGCTCTGATTGGTGGTTTTTGCTGCATTTCTTCAGAGGAGTTTTTCATATTGTACAGTTACAACATGGTGACTGTTTTAAAAAATATGAAAAAAACATATTAAAGTATTTAATGGAAGAGTAAATAGAACTTACTTCCTGTTTGTGTTTGTAGTCGAACCGTCAGACTCTACTGCTCCTTTGTGACCAAAGAGTTGCTGCTAAACAACCCAAAGTACGCCTTCTGGGAGGAATACATTGTGAGTACCAACCCCTCTGGTCTCGGGTCCAAACCGGTCACTGAGGCCAGAAGCCCGGCGGCAGGCCAGGCATCCTGACGCCTTCCGCATTTTAGAGTTAAAAAGTGTTTAAAGTTGACAGGAAATTTCAAAATTTCCTGTCAACTTCACAATTCTTCACAACAATTGACTGTTTTGTGTTGGTCTGTTGCATAAAATCCCAATATGATACAGTTATGGTTGAAATGCTTAAAAGTGTTATAAACACTTCTCTTATAGGAAATGCATAAATATTAGTGACGTTCGTTTAGTATTAAACAGAATTACCTTGAGTTAATGTTACATTTGTACTATGTGTTATTGGAAGACATTATTACCAATACATAAACACCAACTATAAAGTCTTCAAATAAATAAATATAAGTTCTTTTGCAACCGTTTCATTCTAATTAACTTTTTTTTGCCGTTTTGCTGTTTCAACAAAGAGATTCTTTAACCCGTTTTCGCTGTCGATGTTATAATCAGAGTTGGTGACATTTACTCAATTACATTTACTTTAGTAACTTTTTTTGGAAAAAATTATTTTAGGAGTATTTTTACTTGAGTAAAAACATGTAGCAGAAGTGCTACTCTTACTTGACTATAATTTTTGGGAACTCTACCATCCTCTGTGTATAAGTAACAAACTCAGCCTGGCGGGGGTGCAAAGTTAGCCTGGTGACCTACCAGGCTTACCAAATACCCTTTGGGAATCCGTGCTGAGTTTGGTTTCCGTCGCAGGTTCCTCTGGAGCTGGAGAGCCCCACTCAGATCTCCCTGGTGGACGAAGCGTCCGGAGAGGTCAGTGTGTTCGAAGCTGCAGTCCGAGGTTTTCAGCTTTTGTTTCTAACTTTGGGTTTCTGTTTGTGGGACAGAAAGAAGAGGTTGTGGTGACGCTGCTTCCTGCAGGTCACTGTCCTGGATCCGTCATGTGAGTGACGTCTGGTTCTGTGGCTTAGCGAACATTTCCTATAAAACGTTTATGTTGTGAACAGAAATGTAGTGAAAAGCAGCTAAAAACAAGAAGAACTGCTGATCCAGATCACTTGTAAAAAGAATGTGTTCAGTCTGAGAATCTGTTCATCACCAGGAGTCTGGAATCTGCTTGGAGGCAGGAATCAGTTTGTTCAGTGTTAAAAACAAGGAATCTGTTGGTTATTAGGAATCATTTAAAGAATCTGATCTGACTGAACGAACAGATTCCTAATCCCGAACAGGTCCCTCCCTATCGCTTTGATCAGATCTCTGAACGGATTCTTCAAATGATTCCTCGTAATCTTGTTCTTAGCGCTGAAGCAAAGGGGGGAGGGATCTGTTCGGGATGAGGGATCTGTTCGGGATGAGGAATCTGTTCGGGATGAGGAATCTGTTCGGGATGAGGAATCTGTTCGGTATGAGGAATCTGTTCGGGATGAGGAATCTGTTCGGAATGAGGAATCTGTTCGGGATGAGGAATCTGTTCGTTCAGATTCCTGAAGAATCTGTTCATCAACTGTGTGTGAGAAGTTTAAATGTTGGGAATGTGTTCAAATGAATCTGTTTTGGGAAGCAGTTCACCAGTCTGTTCAGATTCAGGAGTCCATGAACACTGAGTCATGAATCGGTTCGGAGTCGGGAATCTGTTCGATCACAAAGGAAACCAACGCAGTTGGACTGTTGAGATCTGACCAGTTAAAAGGTCCACAGGAAGTGGCTGTGATGTATTTCCTGTTTCATCACATGTCCGCCTGTACCTTCTGCACCTCCCAGGTTCCTGTTTGAGGGTTGCCATGGAAACGTGTTGTACACGGGGGACTTCCGGCTGGCGGTCGGAGACGCGTCCAGGATGGAGCATCTGCACTCCGGCAGCAGGTGAAGTCAAGACAGGTTTCAAACTTCTGGCTCGTGGGCTGGAAGTGGCCCGTGCACTCCCTACTTCCGGCCGTCGACTTCATGCGGTTCTGGCCGGTTCTGGCCGGGTCTGGACTTGACCGTCCGCTCCGTGTCCCTCAGGGTCAAAGACATACAGAGCGTTTATCTGGACTCCACGTTCTACGACCCGCGCTTCTACCAGATCCCCAGCAGGGTGAGTCATTTTACTGACCTGCAGCTAATGATGCTAAGTGCTGGAGGTTAGCATGCTAATGATGTGGGTTGCCATGGATACCAGCTTTTCTCTAAATAGAACAGAATACAGACTGTTCAATTTAGCATGCGATACAGAGATTCTGTATCGCATGCTAACAATGCTAAGTGTTTTATTTAGCATGCTAATGATGCTAGCTAGATGCTGCATTTTCTGTTTAGCATGCTATCATTGCTAAGTGCTGAAGGCTCTATGTTAATGCTAACAGTGCTAAGAGTTGGAGGTTTTATTTAGCATGCTAATGATGCTAGCTAGATGCTGCATATTCTGTTTAGCATGCTATCATTGCTAAGTGCTGAAGGCTCTATGTTAATGCTAACCATGCTAAGCGTTGGAGTGTTTTGGTTTTGCTTCCTGTGTTGGCAGGAAGTGTGTCTGAAAGGGATTTCGGAGCTGATCGGAAGCTGGATCGGCCAGAGTCCGTATCACGTGGTGTGGCTGAACTGCAAGGCCGCGTACGGATACGAGTACCTGTTCACCAACCTGGGAGACGAGTTCGGCACTCAGGTGAGCCGCTCGGCGAAGTTTCCTCATGCAGGAAAAACATTTATCCTGTTGGGTCAGAGTTCATCCTGCCGCCTGCTGGATCTGCTCAGAGCCTGGGAACCTGTTCGTTTCTGTGGAAATGGACAGAATCTGGAAACACGATAAGTTTTCCTGATTCTTAAAGAAATCTGGAATCAGAAAAGACTCCATTCAGTGGTGGATAAAGATTCACAAAACGTCATCTTTCCATTCATCTGTTCATTCAGTCATTCATGTGTTCATTCATGTGTTCATTCTTTCATCCATCCATCAAGTGAATCTGTTCTCTACCTTCGGCTCTTCTGGTTCTGATTCTAAGGAAAGTGGATAATCTGTTCAGGATTTTCATTGTAAATGTTTTAATAAAACATATTTAACATTAATATGTTTTAATAAAACATATTTAACATTAATATGTTCTAATAAAACATATTTAACATTAATATGTTTTAATAAAACATATTTAACATTAATATGTTTTAATAAAACATATTTAACATTAATATGTTGTAATAAAACATATTTAACATTAATATGTTCTAATAAAACATATTTTACATTAATATGTTCTAATAAAACATATTTAACATTAATATGTTTTAATAAAACATATTTAACATTAATATGTTGTAATAAAACATATTAACATTAATATGTTCTAATAAAACATATTTTACATTAATATGTTCTAATAAAATATATTTAACATTAATATGTTTTAATAAAATATATTTAACATTAATATGTTCTAATAAAACATATTTAACATTAATATGTTTTAATAAAACATATTTAACATTAATATGTTCTAATAAAAACATATTTAACATTAATATGTTCTAATAAAACATATTTAACATTAATATGTTCTAATAAAACATATTTAACATTAATATGTTGTAATAAAACATATTTAACATTAATATGTTCTAATAAAACATATTTTACATTAATATGTTCTAATAAAACATATTTAACATTAATATGTTTTAATAAAACATATTTAACATTAATATGTTGTAATAAAACATATTTAACATTAATATGTTCTAATAAAACATATTTTACATTAATATGTTCTAATAATAAAATATATTTAACATTAATATGTTTAATAAAATATATTTAACATTAATATGTTCTAATAAAACATATTTAACATTAATATGTTTTAATAAAACATATTTAACATTAATATGTTGTAAAAAAACATATTTAACATTAATATGTTGTAATAAAACATATTTAACATTAATATGTTGTAATAAAACATATTTAACATTAATATGTTGTAATAAAACATATTTAACATTAATATGTTTTAATAAAACATATTTAACATTAATATGTTGTAATAAAACATATTTAACATTAATATGTTCTAATAAAACATATTTAACATTAATATGTTCTAATAAAACATATTTAACATTAATATGTTCTAATAAAACATATTTAACATTAATATGTTGTAATAAAACATATTTAACATTAATATGTTTTAAAAAACATATTTAACATTAATATGTTGTAATAAAACATATTTAACATTAATATGTTCTAAAAACATATTTAACATTAATATGTTCTAATAAAACATATTTAACATTAATATGTTGTAATAAAACATATTAACATTAATATGTTTTAATAAAAACATATTTAACATTAATGTTGTAATAAAACATATTTAACATTAATATGTTGTAATAAAACATATTTAACATTAATATGTTCTAATAAAACATATTTAACATTAATATGTTCTAATAAAACATATTTAACATTAATATGTTCTAATAAAACATATTTAACATTAATATGTTTTAATAAAACATATTTAACATTAATATGTTCTAAAAAAACATATTTAACATTAATATGTTCTAATAAAACATATTTAACATTAATATGTTCTAATAAAACATATTTAACATTAATATGTTTTAATAAAACATATTTAACATTAATATGTTGTAATAAAACATATTTAACATTAATATGTTCTAATAAAACATATTTAACATTAATATGTTCTAATAAAACATATTTAACATTAATATGTTTTAATAAAACATATTTAACATTAATATGTTCTAATAAAACATATTTAACATTAATATGTTCTAATAAAACATATTTAACATTAATATGTTCTAATAAAACATATTTAACATTAATATGTTCTAATAAACATATTTAACATTAATATGTTGTAATAAAACATATTTAACATTAATATGTTCTAATAAAACATATTTAACATTAATATGTTTTAATAAAACATATTTAACATTAATATGTTCTAATAAAACATATTTAACATTAATATGTTTTAATAAAACATATTTAACATTAAATGTTCTAATAAAACATATTTAACATTAATATGTTGTAATAAAACATATTTAACATTAATATGTTGTAATAAAACATATTTAACATTAATATGTTGTAATAAAAACATATTTAACATTAATATGTTCTAATAAAACATATTTAACATTAATATGTTTTAATAAAACATATTTAACATTAATATGTTCTAATAAAACATATTTAACATTAATATGTTTTAATAAAACATATTTAACATTAATATGTTTTAATAAAACATATTTAACATTAATATGTTGTAATAAAACATATTTAACATTAATATGTTTCTAATAAAACATATTTAACATTAATATGTTCTAATAAAACATATTTAACATTAATATGTTTTAATAAAACATATTTAACATTAATATGTTCTAATAAAACATATTTAACATTAATATGTTCTAATAAAACATATTTAACATTAATATGTTCTAATAAAACATATTTAACATTAATATGTTCTAATAAAACATATTTAACATTAATATGTTGTAATAAAACATATTTAACATTAATATGTTCTAATAAAACATATTTAACATTAATATGTTTTAATAAAACATATTTAACATTAATATGTTCTAATAAAACATATTTAACATTAATATGTTTTAATAAAACATATTTAACATTAATATGTTCTAATAAAACATATTTAACATTAATATGTTCTAATAAAACATATTTAACATTAATATGTTCTAATAAAACATATTTAACATTAATATGTTTAATAAAACATATTTAACATTAATATGTTCTAATAAAACATATTTAACATTAATATGTTGTAATAAAACATATTTAACATTAATATGTTGTAATGAAACATATTTAACATTAATATGTTTTAATGAAACATATTTAACATTAATATGTTTTAATAAAACATATTTAACATTAATATGTTGTAATAAAACATATTTAACATTAATATGTTGTAATAAAACATATTTAACATTAATATGTTCTAATAAAACATATTTAACATTAATATTTCTAATAAAACATATTTAACATTAATATGTTTTAATGAAACATATTTAACATTAATATGTTGTAATAAAACATATTTAACATTAATATGTTGTAATAAAACATATTTAACATTAATATTTGTAATAAAACATATTTAACATTAATATGTTGTAATAAAACATATTTAACATTAATATGTTGTAATAAAACATATTTAACATTAATATGTTGTAATAAAACATATTTAACATTAATATGTTCTAATAAAACATATTTAACATTAATATGTTTTAATAAAACATATTTAACATTAATATGTTCTAATAAAACATATTTAACATTAATATGTTTTAATAAAACATATTTAACATTAATATGTTCTAATAAAACATATTTAACATTAATATGTTGTAATAAAACATATTTAACATTAATATGTTGTAATAAAACATATTTAACATTAATATGTTGTAATAAAACATATTTAACATTAATATGTTTTAATAAAACATATTTAACATTAATATGTTCTAATAAAACATATTTAACATTAATATGTTGTAATAAAACATATTTAACATTAATATGTTGTAATAAAACATATTTAACATTAATATGTTGTAATAAAACATATTTAACATTAATATGTTCTAATAAAACATATTTCATATTTTAGATCCATGTCAACAGCCTGGCGATGTTCAAGAAGATGCCGGAGATCCTGAGCTACGTCACCACCGACCGCGCCACTCAGATCCACGCCTGCCGCCATCCCAGGGTTTGTTCCACTCGTCTCCATGGTTGTAACACTTTACAAACGTTTAATGAATGAATGAATTTAATGTTCACTGTTTCACCGCAGGATGAGGAGTTTTTCCAGGGTAACCGGTTGCCGTGCGGTTGCTCGGCAGCCGACGGGTCGCCGCTCCGGATCATCAGCATCAAACCGTCGACCATGTGGTTCGGAGAGCGAACCAAGAAGACCAACGTCATCATAAAGTAAGAAAGAACTGTTCGCTTTGGGGAATGAATTCAGTTCAGTTTGGCTGAAGGAAGTCTGTCCTCCAGAACAGGAAGTAGTTCCTACAGAGCCTGTTTCAGCTTCCACTCTTCCTACTCAGAGGTCAGACGTTCACCTTTATCTCCAACCTTGTTTCATCGGCTGGTTTCGTTGGTCCAGATGAGTGAAGGTTTGTTTCCGGTTTGTTCCAGATTAAGGACTTCCTGTCCTACCTGCAGCCCGTCAACATTTTCCCCAGCGTCGTTCCGATCGGACGCTCGCTGACCGACGTCACGCAGATGTGAGTTTAAAAGCTTTCTGAATGAATGTCTTCCTGTCAGAACATCTCCTAAGAATCTTCAGTCAAGAAAAATCTGGAAAAATGGGAATTTGGCTTTAATTCCGGGTCTGGATGAGTTTGGAAAGAAGCGGAGAAATTTGTGTTCCTAGACTCCATCTGGTCCAGGAACCAGACTGGACCAGTCCTGCCTCTGCTTCCAGGGTTCAACCCGAGGCTGCAGAGTCGTCTTCGCTCTGAGGATGATGAGGATGAGGATGATGAGGATGTTTGTGTCTCCAGGTTGAGGCTGATGTGCCGGAACCAGCCCGATGAATCCGCCTTGGTTTACAGACCTCTGGGCGTCCTGAAGCGGAACCGAGCCCAGCGGCCCACTGACGGTGACCCACTCAGAACCTGAAGACCGTTTCATGTCTTCCTGTCCAGTTTGGACATATTTGGGATTTTTATCCAACTGTGTTGTGATGATTAATTGATCATTCTGAAAATTACCCATTTTGTAGATTTTTATTTTGCCACAATATCAGAAATACATAAAAATACAAATAAACTTTTTTATTTCTAGTTTAAATCAAAAATAAACATTTTACTGCCTGCAATGCAGAAACCAGCTGGATTATCAGCTTCATGTCACCAACCTGGTTGAAACCAGTTTGAGGTCACCCAGTTTGAGGTCACCCAGTTTGAGGTCACCCAGTTTGAGGTGGTATGTTTTGCTCCTGGTTCCGTGTTCAGACTCCAGCAGCGACGACGAGCTTTTCGACGGTTTGGATTTGGCTCCGCTCCGGAAGAAACTGATCCTGAACCAGGAAACGCACAGCGGTACATTTTTACCTTCTTCCTTTTTCACATTTTTCTGTTTCAGGAACGTTTCTTCAACCAAAACAAACATTTTGATTTTGGTTGAAGAATATTATCTACAAACGTTTGACAAGAACGTCGATTAAATACATAATTTGCAGATTTATTAATACTTCTATAAATGTGTAGTGTTGTAGTATTAGTACTTTTGGCAAGCTTAAAGTATTCATCTCTCCAACTTTAGCATGAAATGTATTGATTAGGATATTTTGTGACCAAACTTATGTTCATTTTGTGTCAAATCATTATGACTGTATAGATAAAACCCATCAACAAACTGCTGAAATATAATCAATGACTGTATTAAATGAGATAATATTGAACATCTTTTCAACTTGGTGTAATTTGGCAGCAGAATAAAACTGATTAGATTTGACTGAAATCAAAGATCAGATCATTTCTGTGATAGATTTTTGCTCCTCTGGTTTTGGAACGATGGCAAACGAGGCGCATTAAACTACAAATATTCATTCTTTTCAATTATTTATAATGAAAACGTTAATCTGGTTGTTTCTCCTTTCACTGTAGAGACGCCGGCTGAGAGAACAGCGCCCCCGGTGGCCACGTCTTTACCTCTGCTGGCGTCTGATTCGACTGCTGCTCAGAACTACTTCGACTGCACCGAGTCCAACGGCGAGGACGACGAAGAGGAGGAGGAGGAAGACGAGGGGACAGGAGACGTGAGCAAAGCGCCGAAGTGGGAGGATTTCTTTACGGCGGAGCCGCTGAGCGACAGCCAGAACAGCCAATCGCATTCCTGCTGCTCCGCCGCGTCTCAGACCCCGGATCTGTTCAGCGACGGCGACCGAACCCCGGAGGACCTGGACGCCTTCAGCCTGGCGCTGTCCGCCTCCCAGTCCAACCAGTCCTCCCAGAACCTGGACGACACCCTCATCCTGGCCCAATCAGAACTGGAGGAGCTGCCGGCGTCTCAGGCGTCCTCTGACTTCGACGTTCCGCCGACGCCGGAGTCGAAGGCGCCGCAGGCCGGCGAGCTGCTGCAGCTGTACAGGAAGCTGGCGTCAGGACAGGAAGTGGTCATCAAGGGTCAGGCTGAGCGCGAAGGAGGCGAACATCTGATTGGTTGATGGACAAAAGATCCATTCCGGTGTGTTCATTTTAGAAAAACAAGTAAGTTCACCCTCCGATCCAGGATTCCTGTCACATGGGCTTTGACTAGGCCGTTGCAGCACTTTTGACTTTTTTTTTCAGCTGATCTGTGAAAGCTGGGCGATTCAGATTAAAATAAATCTTTTTTAAAAGAAATTGACAGAAACTATATTTGATTTTTCACTCATGGCTTTTAATTCAATGAAAAGTATTTTGTTTGATTACAAGAATAAAGTCATATTTGCAAAATAAAGACACAATTTTACAACATAAACATCCTAAAATTCCTGCCACTACTTTATTCCCATATTATATTGTTGTATCACTTTATTCTTTTAATAAAAATAAAAATCTTGGCTCTAATATTTGTTCGTAGAATTGACCTGAGATTAAAGTCCAAGTAAATCAAAGCTGTAAAACAAGATGGCCGCCCTGGGCTCTGAGGCGTGTGGCATATTGGGTGAAAAAACTAAATCTAAAAATCAAATCTTTTGGATTAAAAGTAATTAAACTGGTTGATCGCCCAGCTTTAGTTCTGCTGCAGATCTGCTCTTCTATCCAGACAAGCCCTGATCATTATGCTGCCACCACCTTACATGATGTTGGATGTTCTCCGTTTGTCCTCAGACGTTTTCTCTTTCTGGAGGACGATGTCTCAGCATCAAAGCTGCAGGGGTGTACTTACTTTGTCACTGTTCCTGGTTTGTTTCTGGGTTCCCTTCAGTGTAAAATGTTCCTGGACTTTGTTCTTATCTCCTAAAGCAAAATGTTTCCAAACCACTCTGACCTCATTCAACTGCACTTTGACCTCCTTCCTGTCCTCCTGCACCTGTGCACACATCACAACTACATTCCCGCTCAGCTGCCACCTTGTGGTTTCTCTGGCCTCGTTTCATTCAAAGTGGATCAACGAATGAAAGGGAGAAACGTTTAGTTTGATCTAAATATTTAATTTACCTGTTTTTGTATTTCCTCTCATTTGTTTCTAAAGATGTTTGAGAGAATAAACCGAGAGAATAAAACATTGCAATGTATGGAAACATTCTTTCAATTCCAGGTAGCTTCCACAGGGGGGCGACGGAGAGCTGAAACATCACGTGAGTTTTCAGTTCTTAACATTTTTCTTTCTGGTGAACAAACTTGTAATCTTTAGTGATTTTCAGGTGTTTTCCAGATTCTATGGAAGAGAATTAAATGTGGAAATGTTGTTCAGGTGACAAAAGGTCGACTTTGTAACTGACTTTATGTGACTGAATGTTCAGGTCTGAGTCCATCGCTGGTTTCTAACAGAAGCTTGGTTAGTGGACGACTTCAATTTCCTGTATTTACCTTTATTTAGACAGAAGAAGAAAACATTGACACATTTCTGAAAAGAATAAGTAAAAGTTATAAAATGTGTTTTTACAACCTTGTAATGACAGAAACTCAAATATTTAACAGAACAATGTTTAAATAATAAGCAAGTCATTTGTCTTTTATTGGTTGAGTTTGACCAGAGGAGCTTCTGATTGGCTGAGAGCGACTCATGAATATAAAATATCATCGATTAAACAAAACAGGAAAAATAAAATACTTGGATTTTTCTTACATGCTGCAAAACATTAAATGACTAAAACAGTCAAATGTTTAGTTGAAAATGATAAACTGTCATTTTCTTTCTCAGTTTTGAGCAATAAAAACAGGATTTTTTCACTTTTATTGAAAAGTATGAGGCCAAATTTAAAAAGTTCATGAAAAGCAGCGTAATGCTCATAAAGCTGAGATACTGAATATTTTGTGTTGTAGCCAAAATTTTCTAGTGTTAGATTGTAGTTTGTGTTAAAAATAAGATGTTTGCATCTGAATCAGACAGCTTTGGAAAATGTGTTTTATTCTTCAATTGCATCCAATTTGAATCTAATCTTTAATCACAAGTGGATTTATTGTTTCCATCCCAACTCTTGATCGAATGTTGAGCTTTGTGAGTGCAGCCTGACTGTCTGTTGAACCAGGTGGAGATGAACGTGGGGATTTCCTGATGAAAACGCAGAAATGAGATTCGCTCTGCTGGATGTTTCTGATAACACAACGAACACCTGCTGCTCAGCAGATAACCGCGTTTCACTCGCCTCCAACTGATCGCATGCAGACAGGCAGCCAGGCAGTTAACAGGCCAAAACCAGTTAATTATATGAGTCATTAGTGTCATTTACTTTTTAGATTCATTCTAATGTGTCATTTTTGCATATTTTCAACATCATACTAACCCTTTGTATGATGTTGAAAATATGCAAAACTGAGTCATAGTATAGTATGAGTTAAAAAGTGAGAAAATAAAACAATATGTCTGAAGTGGACATTAATCATTAAGGGGGAAAATCAGTTTTATTCAATACAATTTCAATGTAGTTTGTAATTCTGACCACAAGAGGGAAGTGTTGTCCGATTAAAATATAACTTTTCTTCATCATAATTTGTCAGGATTAATTTAGGATGATAATTTTACACCTGGCATAATATGTACCTGAAATAGCTAATAAAAATACCAATTGGGTATTTTAGTATCAATTAGTACTAACATTTTAATTGAGTTGGTATTTAAAAGCTAATCCAGCCCTAAAAATGAGCCATTATTTTAGTTTTTAATGGCTCATCTCATGACCACACAAAGCTGGATCTTTTCTTTTTTATGTCAAATTCCCTCAGGTTTAAAGATTTGCATGAATTGAACCTGGATTTTAGCTGCTAGTAAATGGAAATTTATTTTTTAAGACTTGATATTTTTGGTTTCATCTCAAACTTTCCTCCTTATCAAACTGCAAACTCAACACAAGCATTTTCAGAATGACAAAGACGCCCACACAGTTTATTACTCATATAGTTTTTATTCATATTATGAGACTTCATTCCACATCCAGGTTCAGCACATTTCAGTTTCCATCCGTTTTTCACAGCAAATAAACAAAACAAATAAGATTTCCTGCTTTTCTGAGGTCTGATGTTTGAGAGCGACTGAAGCCTGCAGTCGCTCCCGGTCCAGCGTGGCACAGAAGGTTTTATGAGGCAACGTTTCATATCAAACAGTAACAAAAGTAGAAAAACCTGAAATATGGCACGAAAACCATCAGATTTGAAGAGTCAGATCGACGTTTTACCCTGAAGTTGTGAGAACAAGTCTGAGCCAAATAAGCCAGCAGCTACGACATGATGACTATTTGCCTCCTGATCCAGTTGAAGAGTCGATTATGTCCTGAGGTTTGAACGGTTCCCACAATCCAGGAACTTTAGGGATAAAAACCGGAGCGCTAATCCGTCCTTAATTCACCTAAACTCACTTTAAATCCCTAAATTACACATTAAGTTAAACGGGATTTGTGTTGGAGCAACAAACAGACATCCTGCTGTTAGGAATAAACCTGTTTATTGACATAAAGACTAATCTGAAGTGACAAGATTTAAATGTGTTTGATGTATTAAGAAGACACTTGAGTATGTCAGATAATAAAATAATATCTCTGTAAAGTTTTTGAAGCACTTTTAAACGTGGATTAATTCCACCTCTAAATAAATATTAAAGTTTTTCAATTATATGTTTTTATGAAATTATTTAGAGTCACAGATTCCAAGATTGGCCACCAGGTGGTGCTCTCCAGTGTTTTTCTTGCTTTCTCTCAGTTTTGGTAAGATTTATAAAAACATAGAAAACAAAAATGTTAAATGTTTGGTTTTATATTTTAGTGAGTCTTATTAGTGAACATTTGATCTATTTTACAAATTAAAAAAATTTATTTTTTTGCTTTTTTGTTGCAATTTAGTATTTAAAACATCCTGATGAAAAACAGTCATTTGTGAGGGGAACTGAACCAGTTTGCTGTTTTCCTCTCTGTGTGCTGGAAGCTCTGCTCTGGTTTTAATCCCAGCCGTTCTAAAAGCAGCTCTCTCCTTTCAAGTGCTAATTTTAAAAAGCTTTTCCACGCAGATAAAATTACACTCCAACTAACTGGAGTGAATCTCAGGTTGGAAAGACTTCACCAAGTCCCGAGGCAGAGGATTTTTCTTCTGAAGAAGGAAGAAACAAATTTAAACCCTTTTCATTTCTGAGAGGAGCAGAAATATGAAGATTACCTCCAAGTGTAATCTTGGAGTTTTGTACTCGTCTAAATTCGACATACGGAAAAATAAATGCTTTTATATAAAAACTGAATGATTACGGTGATTCCCGGCCGCCCAGTGGCATTTTAAATTCAAATGTAGTTACTGGAGACACTTATGAGAAACTATATTAGAGCCACTGTACATATAAGAGGAGGGCTACATTGCTGCCAAAAAACTAATAAAAATACATTTTCTAAAAAGAAATTAAGTAAATTTCGGTGCCTAAGTCAATAATTTTCTTGGAACAAAAACTAATTTTGAGGTTAAACCTCAGAAATTTTCTGGGGGAAAAAATTAACATTTCTGAGATTCTAAAGTTGAAAATGTTGGACTTTTGCTCTCTGAACATTTCTAAAAGTCAAAAATGTACAACTTTTCAAACTCAAAAATTTTCTAATTTATTCTAGAAAATTTCTGTGATCTCAAAATTTCTCCCTGTTTTCTGGAATACATTTTCATGTTTTCAAACTTTTCTTATGCAGAGTAAGCTAAAGTTTTTAATGTTTTTTTTTTGGTGGGAATTAGCTCCGTTTCTCCATCTGCAGGATCTGAACAACCATCACAGATACCGAATAATCTTGAATTAATCAATTGAAAGTTTTGGCTCCAGCAGCTGATTTGATTTTTATAACCTGAGAATCTGCAGTCGGTTCACAAACAGGAAGCTTTCTGTGAAAAGCCAAAACAATTTCTATGATTCCACCTTTAGATCCTCAAACAAACAGAATTAAATACATTTTTCACTGAAATCAAAAATTATAACTAATTTTCATAGGAGTTTTTATTAAACTGCAATAAAATACATGCAATAAATGTAGATATAAAATTATTAACGACCTGTCTATAAAAAGAATGAAACATAACCAGTTAGCATAGCAGTTATTTTTGAATTTAGTTAATAAATACTGTAACAAGTATAAATATTAAATAATAAATTTGTATTATGTTATGTGCATAATTATGAAAATTATTCTGACCAAACATATTACTATCAGTTTACTAAAAGATAATTAGTGCATTTAAAAAAAAATTAAAAGCAACTTTAACAGAAGTAATGTTATTAATAAAAATTCTTCATGAATAAAACACAGCTTGAATATACAGAAGAAATGTTGAAATGCTGTTTACCGACTGTTTACTTATGCAGCCTTTTTTTTATTAATGTATTAATTTAAATGACTTTAAGTACAATTTTAGTTCACAAACATGGACAGTTTGTTCTGAAATTACAAATGCTCAAAATAAATATGTCTGCCTTTTGGTTCCTTTTAAATGTAAAAGTTATTTATTTTTGGTTAGTTTAATAAATCCTTAAAGTTAAATTCATCTAAATATTGTATAATTATCCTGAAATATTCGCCGTTAGATTTCTATCTAAAATAGACGTAGAAAAATCTTAGTTTGTGTTTCTAACGTCAGAAATATATCAGTGTTTGGGAAACAAACCATAAAATTAGTTAAATATGTTTTACATTTTAATTTCTGTTCAATTAAGTTCAACAATAAACTAGAGAAGAGGATGAAGGCCAGTGGAAAAAAAACTGCTCATTTTTTATCTGGATTTTTACTTTAATCCCAAAACTTTGACTTAAAAAAATTAAGACTTTAACCTGAAAATTCTGACTCAGAAATCTGAGCTCTTTCCTCAAATTGTTGAATTTAATTCTGACTTTTTTTCTCAAGATTTTTTTTTCTCAGAATTCAGACTTTAATTCCAGCATTTTGACTTTTTTTAAAAATCAGTCAAAATTCCTCATATTCTGAGTTCAACCTCAGAATTCAGAATTTTTAAAAATCATGATTCAGAATTTTGACTTTTAAAAATTATAATTCTGATTTTTGATCCCAGAATATTACAGAATTCTGATTTACTGAAACAGATAGATGGAATCCAGCCATCATTTCTTTTATTTGTTGAAATCTTTTCTGTTTTCGTTGCTTTTTGGAGCCATAAACCAGCAGCAGCCAGCGAAGCCGACCTTCGTTGACCTCTCACCTGGTTTGGTTTTGGTCGGTGTTTCTGGGTTCGGTTGAGATCCTGTTTTCAGTCCATCACAGACTGAAGCACCATCACTAAACTGACCGCGACTACCGGTCCGAACCGGGCGGGTCCGGCCGCGATGGCGCCACCATCAAGCAGTAATGAGTAATTACAAGATGGGCTGGACTGAGCCTGAGAGTGGGCCGTTGCTGAGGCGACGCGTCGCAGCTTGAAGTCGTGCTTCATTGCAGAATATTGTTCTGGACCGTACGGGATGCTGAGCGTCTCTGTCAGAACCTCGTGACCCGGATACGACACCTGAGACAAAATCAGAAAGAAAAACTTTTTGTTTCTGCAGATTTGATTTGCAGCGTCAAACTTTTTACTTTTCTTCAGTTGTTTTATTATAAAGTATTTTTACTTTTACTCCAGTAAAATTTCTGGATCTTCTGCCAACCAAATGAAAAACATAAATGTTTTAATCAAACCTTCACCTGCAGTTTCTGTTGAAGCTTCATGAATTATGATTGGAAGAAACTGATCTGGAAAAAAATCTTTGGCCTGATTTTGTTAATTTTGTTACTAATATGAGTTATTTAGATATTTGCATTTCTACACCATTTCTTTTTGCCTTTGACTCCCTTCAGATGGAAACTCGGCTCATTTGCATCGTCTTGTAAGAATTTGCATTCCTTATTTGAAAAGATTCGTTTTCTCCTTCTTGTGCTGCCAGATGAAGTTTAAAACCTGAGAAGGTAAAACTTTAAAAGTAGTGACTATTATTTACTTTGAAGGTGTAGTTTCCAGGCAACAGCAGCCGGTAATATTCTCCATGCTGATTGGTTCTGAATGGACATATGTTCCTGCGACCTTCGACCTCCACCACAGCATTCTGCACTGGCATCCCCCATCCATCAAACACTTGACCTTTCACCCCTAGAAGGCAGACAGAGACCCATCAATCCTTTCAGCGCCTGTTAGCTCCAGGCTAAAGCTAACACACGGTTCTGACCCAGGTGGACCTGCCGGATGTAAGCTAGCAGAGCCTCTTTGTTGTCCATCCACAGGGCAGGAAGTTGTTTGGGTCGAGGAAACTTGCAGCAGGAAAGCTCCAGCGTCAGCTCCAAACATTGCGCCCACACATAGTTGTAGTCCTGCATCCCACCTGGAAGCACACAGAAGCTCTTAAAGGGGCGGCGTTGTGTGTTTGCCACTCATGATTAGCCATAGCTTCTGTCTTTTGTTTGGTCTTTTAGTTGTTTGTTTTAGTTAGATCACATTTATTGTTTATTCTTTTTAGATTTTTGTTTTGCATGTTTGTTTGCGGTTCGTTGCTGCTCTGCCGTTTCTCTCTCTCACTCAGCCTGCCTGCTGCTCCCCTTACAGCTGCACCAGGTTCTAATCTAATCGTTCTTCTACAAATCAAGTGTCAAACTCGAGGCCCGGGGCCCAAATCTGGCCCACTGCAGCTCTTTTTGTGGCCCTTTGTACTCCAGACGTCAAATGTCATCAATCAGTCAAATTTGCACATAATCAACAGACGCCTGCAGTTTTTCATGAATGCATAATTTAGAGCTTACAGCAAAAACATTGAGGTGACAGTGTTTACAAACTAAATAACATAATAACATGATATAAAGATTTTAAAAGGTTTTACAGTTTTTGTACTCACCTTCCAGCTTGTACCAGTAGTAGCCGTTAATGATGCCGTCCTGGAAAGGTCCGCTGTCATCGCAGAGGTTCCCCTTGTGCATGGAGGCGTGGTTGTATGAGTAAACCTTCGCCAGGTGGACGAACACGTCGTCATCAGGCGTGATGCTGGGTGCGACCGTCCAAGCAGAACCTGCAAAACCAGCCAGGAAACTGAAACTATTTCTAAAACCAATTAACACCTTAAAGAAAAAGGTTCAGACAGAAATGGTCCAATCAAAACCTGTAGCAGGATTTGGTAACAAGAGGTTTCTGGGTTTGTTTCTACCTTGGTTGCTGTTGTCGTAAGGATAACTGGCCACCATGGCGCCTCCATGGAGGTTGGCGGACAGAACAAAAGTTTCGCTTCGCAGCCAGCCAATCACAGCTCTCACCTGGATCACATGACCCAAAAATCAGCTTAAATACTGCAGATACAGAACGACCCGTCACAATAACATTCTGCCAGGCGATAATTTAACTCAGAATTTATCGTGATAAACAATAATATTGACCATTTTCAATAATTATTCAATAATAATAATTCAAGAACATATTCTTCAAGATCGATAAACTATAAATACTAATGATTATTTAACACTGGAACTGGAAGACGTTTTAAATATCCCAAATAAATAAAGCAACAGAAACAACAAACAAAATGAATTATATGGTCTATATAAACAAAACTGTCCTTCAAAATAAGAGCCTAGCTGAGACCAAATGACCAAACTCTAGATTTTATCATCCAGTTGTTGGAAAAATTATGAATCCTGCAAATGGAAATGATTGAGCTAGTTTTAAATTATCATGCGATTAATTGATTAATTGCTTATTAATCTACAGAAGAGCTTCTACTCTGATGGTTTAAATAAAATACTTATGTTGTTTTCAGCAGAGCTGGTTTGGATTCATTAACTGATCGTTTTTATATCAGGATGTGGTTTTTGCTCAGCTGCAGGTTCAGACAGAAAGCCTGCAGCGTTTATCTGCAGAAAACATGATCCAACACAGATAAGTCAGGATGGCACTATTTTGATTCATGTCGGTTTCCAATTGGTTGTAACATTTCTCAGAAACCGGATTGATCGGTCAAAGCAGTTGGTAGCTAGCCTTCGGGTATCTTAAAGCTGCACAGGTATTTTAATGTTTGATAAATATCCACCTTGACAGTCATAACTCATAAACCTGGTCGTCCCCCAAGGCTCAGTACTGGAGCTTCTTCTGCAAAATAAACTACATGAGTGGCTCATACTGTCTGATCACCTGGATCTGTTATAATGCTAAGCTAACAAAGCTAACTCTCTCTGTCAAGCCCAGAATTTAACCTCTTTAAAGCTGAGCTGTTGATTTTCTCAACCAAACCAAAATATCTGCATCCAAAGCGAATCCGACCAGCTAACCTTTATAGGGTAAAGGTAGCTTATCGTACTTTTAGCTATAGAGCCACTTTGTTTGTTAGCTAACAGTTTATATAGCCACTTTGAAGGGAAGCTAACAGTTAGCTAGTTACCAACTTTGAAGGATAGCGAACAGTTCTTATAACAGTCTTGAGGAGAAGCTAATAATGCTAACAGCCACCATAAAGCTATAAAGTGTTTTGTTGGTCTGAAACTCAACTGACTGATGTGTTCCTACAAAATAAGAGCTATTCCTACAAAATAAGAGCTGTTCCTACAAAATAAGAGATGTTCCTACAAAATAAGAGCTGTTCCTACAAAATAAGAGCTGTTCTCCAGGGAACAACCACGACTTGTTCTCACGATTCCTTTAACATTTAAAACAGCTGAAGATTTTTTTCAGCATTAAATCCTCAGTTAGGATTTTCTTCATGTTTTCTTGCAAAAAAATGAGATGAAGATTTCAAATGTGAAAATTACATTGAATCATTTGAATCCCCTTTTAAACCTGAATTATTCAATTATGAATGTCAAAGTGTGTAATATGAACACTGTGAAAGTAACTCAAAAGCAGAATCTATTCATTAAATCAAAGCTCATAAACAAAAGCAGAAAGTCCCAAATGAAACCGACCTCAGCTTCCCTCTGCTCCTCTTTCAGCTCCTGCTCCTTTCGAAGACCAACGAAGGCGTCAGGAAATCCCCGATTCAGATCGACGCCGTTATAGTTCAGCCTAAAGCGGACACAGATCCATCAGGTTACAGAACGTAACTGCTTCTATTCACAAAAAATAAAACTTCAGAAATGTGTAAAAAAGCATGCCGCACGTTTCAAATGTTTCTCCTTCATTTTCTGTCTGAGATGAAACGGCAGTGCAACAAAGCGCTTCTGTTTTTACCTTCCCTGGCTCAGCAGGCAGTTGGTGTCGGCCTCGTCGAAGCCGTCCGGGTTCATGGTCGGCAGGATGTGGATCCGTGTGCTGTTCAGCAGCTGCAGCGACCAGCTCTCCTTGTCCCGGTACCCGCGGACCAGCTCAGCGATCAGCTGGAGCAGGAGAACCCGACCCACAACCTGAACCAAATAAAAACAAACAGCCGGCTGGTCGGTTTGGTTCAACTCGAAGGGCTTCAAACAGGCTGTTTCCATGGCGATTCCCGCCTTTTCACAGCTGGGTCCAGGAGAGGCAGAACCATGACGTCATTACAGCGTTTTCTACAAAACCTCTGGAAAAATATTTACAATTCTGATCTCAAAATTCTGAGAAAAAAATTCAGAATTTTAACTTTTTCTCAGAATTGTAACTTTTTCTCAGAATTTTGATTCTAAACTCAGTTATTTTTTTCCAGAATGAGACCAGAAGTCAAGCTGTTGAGGTCAGAAAAAGTCAAAATTCTGACATTTTCTCTGAGGAATAAAAATCTGAATTTTGATTTTTTCCTATAGTTCTGAATTCTTCAGTTTTTCTCAGAATGGTCAAAATTCTGAGAAAAAATGTCTGAATTCTCAGACATGATTCAAACTTTAGATTTTTTCCCCCTCAGAATCTTGTGTTTTTCTAATAACTCATTTTTTTCTGAATATTTTCTTTATCTTCTATAAAAGGGAGCCTTTGTTTGAAGATGTAGTAAAAAACCATTAATAATCAGAGCTGGATGCTCTCCGAGTGAATTTAGGGTTTGTCACTGTGAACTCTGACCTCTGAGCTGACCTGACATAAAACCCACAGCAGTGGAAACATCCTGGTGGGAGAACAGAGAAATAAATATATTTGTTTAAATGTACAAACTGCACATGTGGAGATTAAACTGAGATCATGAAATCAGAAATAATTGCTGACAAGAGTAAAATCCTAAAGTGTGGAAAAACTCTAAAAAAAATTCTACAAAACTGAAAAAGGTATGAAAGTAAAAATGTCCAACTTTCAGTCCAAACTTTGTTGTTTCTGCTGTGAAGGTTTGTTGAGTTATGGAGAAACTATGACAGTTTTGTTTTGATTAAATGTTATGAAGATTGAAAAACGCATCGTCACAAAAAGCAGGAGCAAATTTTTTCTGACTGAATCACATGTTCAACGTTTTTGTTTTCAATTCTAGACAAAAAAATCGACAGGAATCAGATAAAAGAATAAGAATAAATTCACTTTGATGTATCATGAAAAGAGAAACTGCAGCAGAGTTTTCTTCTCTTTTCTTCTCTTTGGTTTTCTTGTGTTCTGGTGTTGCAGTGATGCGAGTCGGATCCAGATCCAGTGGCGGCTCGCTGCCAGGCGGCGTTTCCTGGAAGGAAGGGATTGTTGGACGGAGAAAAGGGAAACTGTGAACGACTGCGAGTTTCAGGAAGCAGAAGAGGAGAAAGGTGAGACGGTGTAAACGCTCAGAGTCTTTAGAAACAAGTCGGGACGAGTCGCTGCCTCCAGCCATCGTTCTTCTCTCCTTTGTCATCCTGTCCCAGTCAAACACACCCAGCTGGAGTCATCACACAGTTCAGCTGCAGCCCCAATAGAAACTGCTCTGTTTGCTATTGTGAGCATCGAAAGGCTGAGATCTCAATCTTCTGTGCCACAAAGCGCCATTGTTCCCTAGCAGACATCAGCGATGCTCTTTTTCCTGCCATGTTCCTTTATCTGATGTTTATTTAGTCTCAGCATCAAAAAACACACAAACTGGATAAATACAGTGTTTGAATCGTTGCTGTGAACATCCATCCAGGAAACGTTTAAAGCTACAACATTGGGTTCAATTAGCGGAAAATTGTTTGATTTGTAAAGAGAGTAAATCTGAACTTTTGTCCCCTGTTTGCTGCACAAAGTTATTTTTGCCTCTAAACATCAAGCAACAGTTTGACATCCAGTCTGGCATCACATATGACAGAGCATTTGCTAAAACGTTAGCTGCACGAGCCTAAAGCACTAATCATGAACATTAGCTCTGCTAACGCTAAAACACAACAACATTGATATTTATGAGAAGCTAATGCTAAAAGGTATACAACACACTGTTAACTAAGCTAATGCTGAAGCACTTCGCTAATGCTAAAGTATTTAATGAAGCTAATGCTGAAGCGCTATACCCACATTAACAGTATTGAGTGAAAGCTAAGGCTAAAGTGCTAATTATAGCTCGGTTTGAAAAACCTTAGCATCAATTTATTTTGATACATTGATGGACATTTAAAGATGTTTTGAAAGTTTACAAAACATCCCAGTAATCTGGAAAAATTTATTTAGGGGAAGCTAAGAGCGCTAAATGTTTTCTAAGTTAGCAAAAGTGCTCAGAGAAAAACTAGCTATGCTATTAGCGGATTAGCTGAAGCGTGTCCAACAGCAGAAATCAGCCTTTTGGTTCGGTTGTGCATTAAAAAGCTGAAATGTTTTTAATGGAAGAATTTAAGTAAAGACCAGGATTAAGGTCTGAGCCTCAGATCATCTCAGCTGCAGGTTTCTTCATGGAGCTCCAGGCTGGTTGAGTGTTTGGGCCACATCGACTCCTCATCAGTCATCAGATGTTTCTGGTCAGTTTGGATAAGAAGCAGAGTTTTGTTTATCTTGCTGTGCATTAGCAGAAGGGTTCGGCTTTTCAGCGAAGTAAAGGTGGAACGTTTTAAAACTGTCTTCAGAAAGACGAAGCCTGAGGGACATTTGCTGCTGGATTGAACAGGAAGGACAGGAAATCTCCTCCTTTTCCCAAAAGAAACAACATTTCTCAGTCAAAGCAGCTTAATCAAAATAATAAACACATCAAGGTAGAAAAGTTTTTGTTTTCATGCTGTTTTTCCTGTTGGTCCATTGTTTTTATTGCAAATCGTTGGCTAATGAAGCTCATGTTGTTGAGTTGCAGAATTTGGTTTATTCTTTCAATCTAATTCCTCCTTTGCAGAGACAGAGGCTTGATTGAGGTTTCATGTTTCTGTGTGTATATATATTATATATATATATATATATATATATATATATATATATATATATATATATAATATATATATATATATATATATAAAAGAGAGAGAGCCAGAAGAGGAGCTTGCCGTCCTGATTTTAAAAAGAAGTTTATTAATATATTTCTTTTAAATAAAAAAAACACGCTGACTCCAAACAACATTGGAACACAACTTCAGTCGCTCAGTTCTAAACTCCCGTTCCTCACTGCACATCATGGCGCCTCGAATGATTAAATGATGCCGTTGCAAAGGGTCAATAATTTGGGTCATGCAGAAATGATTTGATCCTTACCATAGCAACAAGCAGAAACAAAACGTTCTCCCAGTGACCTCATTGTAGTTATAACTTCATCTAAGACATGTGGTTCTAGATCAAAGAACATCTGAAGTTATGAATCTGTGTGTTTCAAGACATCAGTTCATATCCAAGTAGCACTTCAAACTTCACCATTTGTTTTCATAAGGACTTTCAGGATGGCAGAAATGTTGGTTAGTATGTTTCTCCCTCGGCTTTGGCCTCGGATATTTAGTGACAACTAGGATGAGAAAACTTTTCGACAAACTAATCCCTGGAAAAGACTTGGAAGATAGTACTGCTGAGGACGAGAACACTTCGTATGAATATGACGCGTTTGACGCATTCCTTTTTACCCCATCCCCAGTTGAGCAGCAAACCTCCCCGACTGGGGAGGCTTGATTGAGATTTTGTGCAAATCTCCCCGGCTGGGGAGGTTTGCTGGGGAGGTTTGCTCCTTAGACTATGATCTTTTTGATTCCTATCTTTTTAAACCATCTCCAATTGAAAACAATGTTTTTGACAACAATGTCTTTGATTGTTATTTTTATGATCTGTCTCCAGGTGAGAAGCAAACCTCCCTGGCTGGGGAGGTTTGCTTCTCACCTTTGAAGAAAATGTGTAAGGAAAGTCCCCAGGAAGAGAGTGTTGATCTCAAGAATGATTTCCTCCCCGTTCTCCCACAAGAACCAACGTCCCCGGCTGGGGACGTTTGGTCTGTCACTTTCAAAGACAATTGTATTGAAAATCAAGAATCTTCAGTGGATGAACCTGAACAAATAACAGAAACCGTTGAGAGGAGGACCAATCGAGAAAATGAAACAAAAACTTACATAAGGGAAAATTCGAAGAATAATATAGGATTGGAGCCATTGTTGTACATTTTCTTTGCACTTTGCGTTCTTGTTTTTATTTGTTTTGTTGATTTTTACATGTTTGCATTTTTTGTCATTTCTGTTTGTGTATTTTCTATTGTATCGTCAACATCATGGGAAGCTGAGGTTTAAATTTAATTTCTTTTATTTGTTTCAGGTTCTTTGTCAGGATTCCTCCATCAGTCCAAAAAGATTTTGTGCAAATTTGATAATAAATTGGCAATGGAAGAAAATGTTAAAATGTTGTTATTATCATAACAATGATAATAAATAATTATATAAGTATTAAAATACCAATATTATTATATTAATACTAATTTTAGTTTATTTGTACTTATACATATATACTGTATATAAATTCCCTTCTCACCCACCGCGGGTGGTTCTTATCCTCTGAGCTCGGGTCCTCTACCAGAGGCCTGGGAGCTTGAGGGTTCTGCGCAGTATCTTGGCTGTGCCAAGGACTGCACATTTCTGGACTGAGATGTCTGATGTTGTTCCTGGGATCTGTTGTAGCCACTGCTCCAGTTTGGGGGTTACTGCCCCGAGGGCCCCGATGACCACAGGCACCACTGTGGTCTTCACCTTCCAGGCCCTCTCCAGTTCTTCCCTGAGGCCCTGGTATTTCTCCAGTTTCTCGTGCTCCTTTTTCCTGATGTTGCAATCACTTGGTATTGCTACATCAACCACAACGGCTTTCCTCTGATGTTTATCCACTACGACAATGTCTGGTTGGTTCGCCATTACCATTTTGTCTGTCTGGATCTGGAAGTCCCAGGATCTTAGCTCTGGCGTTCTCCACCACCTTTGGGGTTGTTTTCCACTTTGATCTCGGGGTTTCCAGTCCATATTCTGCACAGATGTTTCTGTACACTATGCCTGCCACTTGGTTATGTCGCTCCATGTACGCTTTCCCTGCCAGTATCTTGCACCCTGCTATGATGTGCTGGACTGTCTCAGGGGCC